AGAGAGTGCGGCCACTATTTTGGGGTCTTGTGTCGAGCCCTCCATAAACTCATCCATTGAAAGCTTGTCGTCTTTATTCTGAAACATTCAAAGAATACAAAGAATATGAGTGGACGAGTGGGATGGGCAGGGGTGACATGTGTGAGCCCTACTGTATCCAAGTGGTTGAATATCATTTCCACTCTCTTCTCGGCATTTTCATCTTCACTCTCAGTGTTTGGGCCCAACATCTGATATATGGCTTCTATTATCAGAATCATCTCTTCTCGTGTGATAAATCTGATGAATGAAAGACATATTCTATGAGTATTAGATAGTTTCCATCACCCGTTCCCTAATACATACCCATCGTTATCCAAATCATATAACTTAAAAGTCCCTATAATTCATTGACATGTATGAAAGCTTATTTAATACGTGAAGCAAATATAAATAATACAAAAACAATTGTTGAAAACTTATTGATAATAACTGACATAATAGCTTCTCCTCTAATGTGCCCCGGGATGTGGTCGACAGCGCTCTGATAAACTCTTCAAATGTAATCATTCCGTCCTAAGATTAATAAACAAGTTATTATTTACTTAAGTATTATTGTGGACAAAGAATTTGGTTTTGAAAACTACTTTGTCGTCGTCGAAGACTCTGAATACAAACGACGCGAACTTTTTTGGGTCTCCTTTTGGGAAAAATTGTTGATATATTTTGAGGAATGCCTACAGAATATAAATAAATTCATAAAAAACTCGTGAAAAATATATAACACATCAGAAAAATTTCCGATTTATAGGCAATCTTTTATATTCTAATCACGGAATGGGACGTGAGGTTAGCTATAATTTTATGTGAAGTAACTTATGAAAGATTTATATTTTATATATTTTTAAATTATAAAAACTTTCATATATTCCGTGTAAAGACTAACTTGTTCTGTGAGTCGCCCGTCTGGACAGTCCTTTTGGATACCAATAGAGAGAATACAAAAAACACTTTGTTATCGATTAAGTTGTCGTCACATGTAATACCTGTTTGTTTTGGCACACCTTTGAAAATCCCGAATACCTTTGAATACAGTGAGTGTGTGGGAAATGGTATTACAGAGAAATCATATCAATTAGCATTTCTAAATATAAAACACAAGTAGTTTTTAAGCTTAACTTTACTTACCATTGCTTCACTTCATCTTCGCTGACTGTGTGATCGCAATAAATATAATAATAAACTTTTTATTTTCATTATTTTATTTTTATATTGATATAATAAATGATTGTCAGTCTATTAATAATTAAAAACATTTCGTATAATCATTAATTTGTTATAAAAATGGATAAAATAAGAGATTATGTTAAATGAGAAAGTAAGGGAACGACTGTTCAATTAAGATCTAATAATAAGCTATAATTTATAGTTCAATCACTTCATTAGCCGTAGATTTGTTATTTTATTGTGAATTGAATGAATATTTAATGAATTGAGTGCTGAATAGTGTATTAAATTCATTACAATATCGATAGTCTACTTGAAGAATAAATTTCGTAGTATACTATTATCAATAAAAATTAATAAATTTGTTCATTATAGAAGTAATAATAATGAATTAATGAATCTTTCTAAACTTTCCATTCTTTATATATAAATCAATCAAAACATGAACTAATTTTAACAATTTTATTCATAAATTGGAAATTTTGATGAAACATATTATTCATTAACTTTATTAACTTTATAAAAATAAATAAATACCGTAATTACATTTACAGTATATTAAATTTGTAACATTTATTAATATTAATTTAAAAAGAAAACAATCTATTCCTAATGTTAAATGCATTGCAAAACAACCACACATTAAACCAAAGCTTTCTGAAAAACAGAAAGCATTTGTCAAAAGTTACAAAATATAAAGTAATAATAATTTACTTATAAAAAATACTTTGGAAATCCCTTTGAGTTCATATAATTCTCGGAAACAACTCTACTCTCAAAAATCACAACAAAATCCTCACATTTTTATCCTTCTTTGTCTTAATGCTTGTATTTTGTGTTCAAACTCTTAGTTTTATATTAAGTTAAAACACAATTGTCTTCTTATTTATATATTAAAGTAAGTAATGTTTTTATACTTATATGATTTTATATCAATTTCTCACTAATTTAAGTGTGTGTTGTGACTGAATTGAAATCATTAACTGTACAGTATTAGCTATTAATAATTGAATGGAAGTTTAAAATGACAAATTTGTTCAATTCATATAGCATATGATGAAAGAAGTATACAAAGTATACAATTGTAAAATAAATCTTTTCATTGTATTAATTTCATGGTCTCATTGGCCACGAAATTACTGTGAATTACAAGTTCAAGAATTTTGTGAATGGAAA